TTTTCACCCTCGCGATCACTGAGACATCACTAAACAGTTGCCGTCTGGTCTCATAATGAAATCAATCTCATTTTTTATCGAACCGTCGGTTTCAACTAGATCCACTTCCTGTGGGGCTGCTTCTGGAAGAAATAGTTTATTATAAAGAGTCCCTCTTTCTCCATGAAGTCGGCCAGCTGCTCGCCCTTTGGGTTCCGTTGCCCCATTCCAAATTTTCCTACCCTCAGCTCACCGTTCTCTCTTGTGCCTAGTTTTGCGTTGAAGTCCCCCCTAACAGCGTATAGTGGGTTTTAGAGGAATGCATGGCTTCAGAGATATCCTCATACATTTTCTCCATCTCCTCATCGGGCTTTGCCGAGGTTGACGCGTAAACCTGTATGACCTTCAGCGAATACCGTTTGGTGATTCCGAGTATAAGGTACGCAACCCTTGTCGACACACTCTCAATCTTTACAACGTTGTTAACTAGAGACTTGTTGACGATAAATCCGACACTTGGGACCATCTGTCCCAAGGAAGTGTCCGTGAAGTGTGAAATTAGCATGCATCATGCAGGCATTTCTGATCGGCTCTTTAATTGGATTTCCACTAAAGGATCTCGTGAGGTGATACGTTCAGTGGGTAGATTTTAACGAACACTGATACAGTAGTATTTTTATAAACAGGTTGACTCAAGTAATGCTTTTAACTCCACTGATTGGGTATCCCGTGTAGTGGCGGGTAAGAATACCCACTACCCCATACTTCCCGTGGGAGTCGTAAGAGGCGACAGAGGGAAACTGAGGCAGAAGATGGGCAGCAGGATCTTCCCTATAACAACTCAAAATAATAATAAATTGCGGTTACTAACCCACTTGCCAAGCGTGGCAACTATGTATTTTTTTATAGGATTTGGTAACAAACGAGCACACAGTCTACCTGATGGTAAGTGGTTGCTGTGACCCATAGACATCCACATCTATTATCAATAAAGGATCAAAATGCAGATGCTTTGTCACCCGTGAGGACTAAGATGGAATGCCTCCTCTTTTCCAGTTAAAAGGGTCTCCGGTTCTCTACACTCACCATACGAAACACAGCAGTATTAAGCTGCTATTCTGTGAGAGCGTGGTCCTTCCCCGGTCGAGCCGACCCATTCGTGCTACAACTATACTACTAATATAGCTGCAGAATGGCCCTACCACGTATCAATGTATGTTAAATATCTCTCCTATGAGGTCATTTCTATAGGGGAGTCCTATGTTCATCGGTGGCGTTTTGATAAATGGAAGGCAAGGAACATTCACCATCTTTGACTACATTACCATTTACCGTCTGCGGGGAGTGGTCAAGGCTTATAGTAGCATAATATGTAGCCAACAGTGCCTTTCGAAAATGACTTCTAAAGTGTCTTTTCCAGAAATATATAATCTATACAAATAAATAAAATTGAAGTGTCTGTTTGTAATGTCAAAATAACGGCTTTTTACTAATTGCATATGACACAACTTTTAAAATTTTTGTCTGTCTGTCTGTCTGTTTGTTCCGGCTAATCTCCGAAACGGCTGGACCGATTTTGACGGGACTTTCACTTTCACTGTTAGATTGCTCATGTTACAAAGAGTAACTTAGGCTAATTATATTTTTAAAAAATTATTTGGGTTTCGCGCAACAAAACTAAAACCCTAAATTACTCGCGGGCGAAGTCGCGGGGAACAGCTAGTGTTAACATAGAAGTATTAATGTATTGGAAAAGTTCAGTAGGATTAATCTCATATATTCAAGTTACATATCAATCTCATTTGACATAAGATCAGGGACTGTCTGGTTACGGACTGCTTATTGCCTATTTAAGATAACATTCTGACGCTGTCGCAAAAGCACAGAATAAATAAGCAAAAGTGAATTAAATTATTAATTACGATAAGTAAAAAAGTGCTTTGTGAAAAAATGCTTTTTTTTTCTTTTACCTAGGATTGTTCCTGTTAGCCCGGAAAACTTGGTGTACTTATCCAACTTTACAAGAGAAAAATTCCACGTCATTTCCACTTCGTCAGTGTATGCTACCCTACCAAAAATGACGGGCCTGCTTGAGGCTACCCGACCAAAAATGATGGGTCAATAGTTTTTTTTTTAGAATCATTTGCATTATGATTACCATAATATGAGATACGTAACCAATATATTTATTATCAAAGGTGTATGAAGTCGTTTAGTACTCTTCAAATTCAAATGTCTGCCAAGCGATCTGATTTTTTTTTGCTACTACAATCCCACCCGGTGATAAGTGTTGATGAAGCCTTATAGATAGTAAAAAAGTATCTAGATAAAGCCATGTCCATTTATGAACTGTTTACGGCTGATCAAGATAAGAATTCTCTGTAGTCATAATGTATTAGATATGTATAATTGTAATCAAGACTCTTTATTTTAATTCCTGATGTTTCCAGTGCTTTACAGCGCCTTAAATCTATACATATAATAAAACTGTAAATAGCAGATGTCTGTACATTTTATATTTTTGTAATAAAAGTGATTAAGGGGTACTAAAAATAAGTAATTAAATACATTTCTACCATTTTTAGAATTTTCTGTCTGTCTGTCTGTCTGTCTGTCTGTCTGTTTGTTTGTTAACGTATCACGTATAAAGTACTAATTTATATCATAAGAATTGTTAAGGAAATTATAAAGTGTATCTTCGGGTTACATTTAGTCTTTATTTCATTAAAATCAGTTCATTCCATCAAAAGTTATGATAAATATTCTGAAGTATGGGTAGGGAAGTATAGGTACGAATTTGCTCAACGGTGGCTTTGTTTGAGTCATCAAGTGCATTTTAAACTAATATCATATCATAAATCATAGTTAAATTATGTAAAATAATGATATAATTATGTATATCTAAAACGCAGTAAACAAAAGTAATAAAGAACGTATTAAATATAAATATATTAACCTTATTAACTAAATCTGAAGCATAATAGTTAACCCATTTCTTCGATAGATGGTAGTGTTGTGAAAATGTTATGCAATTGCAAATGTGGTTTTTTCCTGTAGATGAGTTTTCATATTTACTGCTAATCTTTATTATATTACTCGCTGCCCTACTGCCTGTTGACAAACTCAATTTATTCTTTACCGCCGAGTACTCTATGTGGTAAATCAAATTTTAAAAGAGCTATTAACAATTGCGTTGGTTTTGGCGAGAGTCAAACTTTATTTTTTGCTTATTGTGCAGGCACTGATTTATAAGTTCTCTTGCGTTTTATATAATGTATCAATCGCGTCAATTAATCTCTTTTATTTTTAGAATTGATGTTAGCAGCGCCATCTCTCTTTAAATATAGCCATACAACGGAACCCGACCAAAAATAAAAATTTTACTAAATTAGAACTGCCATTTTAGCGCTTTGGGAACTAGATTTAGCACTTTTTTGGAATGTATAGCGTGCATTTCGAAATTTTAGCTCCTAGCGCTTAATCCAGCGCTTTTTGATGTATTTAGCACACATTTCAATATTTTAGCGACTAGCGGGTTATTAACTCTTTTATAGCAGCACTGTTAGATGTTAGTCCACATTACCGATAATAATAATAATGACCTTTATTATTTTTTCCCACAAATAGTACATTGCAGTTTATCTTTTTCAAACATATTTTTTCCACAAAACAAAGAGCATAGGAGACGAGTCCAAACTAGGATACCCTGTGCTATGGATCTCCTGGCTTCCCCTTTAGGATGATCAACTTGATTTTTTTACCGACGACTATAAGTGGGGAAATCCCCTTTATTAAAGTTTTCGTTCATGGTTTTGGCAACGCATTTATTTTGCTTTATTCAGTTTCAGTCAGTTGCTTAGAGCACAGCTAAAATAAAAGTTACTTAGTAGTTATAACACAAAGAAACTGTGTAGCAACCGCAATCAGATGCTGACATCTGAAACTAAGTTGCGAAATACATTGCACTTTAAAACAATTAATGACATTTTTATTGTTCGTACAATACTAACTACTGTTGACAGCAATTGCTATAATTATAAGTCGATGTCCTGCGAAGTATTGATACATCAAAAAAATATTGCCAGAAAAAAAAACTTAATGTTGTTTTCTTTATTATGATTATATAAAAAAACACAAACTTTGTTTGTAGTTAATTTAGCGCGAAAACTAGGGCTTTTTTATAGCGCTGTTTTCATGAAATCTAGCGCTTTTTGTGTTGTCCTAGAGCTGAATGAGTTTTTTTTTATCTGGCAGCACTGCCCAAAAACCCTCTATTAAGAAGTAACTTTCCTTTCAGTTTTAAGCGCGTTCAGTTCCCAGTTACAGTGAGTGTGTGTTATGCGATGACCGTCAATAAAGCGCAAGGTCAAACTTTACGCGTTGTAGGAGTGTACCTCAGTACTGACTGTTTTGCACATGGCCAACTCTATGTTGCTTTTTCCCGCGTTAGTAGCCCCCTTAACCTTTTTGTGTATACCCCGGCTAAGCCTACTTCTAACGTCGTTTACACAGAAGCTCTATCATAAACGACTTAGAACTTTGATGATAATGATTTATTTTGTTACCACTTATTGATACAGTAATGAAATAAATCGTTTAATATTCTCTTACCTAAACGACAAATTCTTTATGTAAAACCTGTATACGCGAGCTACGCCGCGGGCACAGCTAGTTCAAAATATATTCACATAAATCAAAGAAATCATTTCTTAAATTTTTCTGACATTTTGCTTCGTTTTATCGTGGGAAAAGTCGCTTTATACTTGCGCTAACAGATCTCAAGAATTATTTTTTTAGTAACGTTACATATTGTATATAATTAGGAAGCTATATCGTTGTAATTATTAAATAGGTCAAATGCAACTCGTTCAGTATAAACAAATCCGAACACATCTCGGTCGTCTCAGTTCGAATGATGCGCAGCTCTGATGGCATTTGACCGTTGAATTTGATTGAGCGAAGTTTTGTTAATGTTTTAATATTTTTACTTGATTATGATTTGTGTTGTAAAATCGTTCCAGAATATTCGGTAGCGGGTGTTCCGACACGTCAGATTGTGAATGCGCTGAAGATAGAAAACGAATAGAAGGGTACAAGTGAGTATTGTTATATATAGATATAGTATCGTGTTATTTTTTAAATTAAATATTATATCCGCCTTTTGACATCGCCTATTGAATGTCTCGTTGGTCTAGTCGTAAGTGCGACTACTGATCATGTGGTCACACGTTCAAGTCCCGAGTCGCAAAAATTTATTAGTTAGTGAGTTTTTCTATCAACGTTCTTCGGTGATTAAAAAAATAATGTGATGAAACTTGCATGTTAAAATTTAAACAAACATTTGAAGTCATGACTGCAGGCGAGGATTTTCTCCCTTCTCTGCTGCATGCATTTTTGTCCAGCACGAAGTAAGCGTGCGACATTCGGTGGACAAGAGATTATTGTTTGATAAGTTTAAATAAGGTCACAATATAAGTTCAAATGTTTTTGCTCATTATCAGAAAACAAAGGATCTAAATAATAATTAAAAATTAAAAATTTTGTAATGCCGACTTCAATATAAATTATTAAGAATAACTCAAAAACTATTGGCCTGACCTTAATCAAATTCATATGGGACCACATGTGGAGTACCAGCTTTCAAGTAAAAAAGGAATCATCGAAATCGGTTCACCCAGTAAAAAGTTATGAGGTAACAAATATAAAAAAAAAACATTCAGTCGAGTTGAGTACCGCTATATATTTGTACTGTGGTACCGTCTCCTTTTTGAAGTCATTGGCGTGCATAAAATAATAAACGTGAGATATTTATGAGTGAAAGATCACCACGTATTTTGAATTTAAGAGATAATAATGACAGGATGTGTGCGATATATATATACGATTTTGATACTCTACGTGATTATAGCATTATGCAATAATTAAAATGTCTTAATAGATATTTAATAAATGCTGATTTATTAATTTTTGTATTTTTGGTATAAAATATACTATTTCATATAGTTTGTTGTTTTATTCAAGTATATATGACTTAAGCACAGAATAAATAATAGTATAAGAAGTCTAACGGAGGAAAAGATACTTGAAATATTAATAAACGTGATTTCGTGCTTAATTCTACCTAGTATTTGGTATCAGCAGCTTTAAAATGAATACAGCTTTAAAATTAATACAGAAGAAAACATCGTGAGAAACCTACGCGTATGAGAAATAAGAAAAAAATATTTCGAAGACGTGTAGTTCGCCAGCACGCATTGTTGCAGCGCGGCAGATACTTACTTGCCCTAGAAACCCTCTCACAAATGAGAGGAGGCCTGTACCCAGCCGTGGGACGTTTAAGGACTGTAATTTTAACTCTTAATTTTTATAAAAATATCGATATTTTTAAACCTCACTGAAAGAAACCTAATGAATCGTGTACTCATTTGCGATTCTCTATTGGAACGTAATGAAATCCAACCATTTTTGAAAAGATTCATCACTCGTGATGAAAAGACGATCACCTACGATAAAAACGTACGAAAAATATCATGGTCAAAGGGCAGTCAACTACAACAACAACATTCCTTTCATATTATACACTGATTATATCGCGTTAAAAAAAAACGAGAACTAGAACGTAAATGTTTTACCCGGCAGTTAATTTTTTTATCTCGATTAATATAAAGTATTTAAAAAATCTATTTCACTAAGTATTTCATGAATGCACATGGCGCATATTTTTTTCTGAGCATTTCTAACTAGTATTTCAAGAAGTATCAATTCGTGCGCGTCAAAATCGTGTCTAAACTAAGATATGTTGTCCGACCTGGCCTTAATTGTACTATTTTTGATTTTTATTGACTAACAACTTCTAAAAGTGGGGTTTTAGTTATATGCTACAAATAAGTTGATCGTCATTAAACATTTGGTTCAGATATTCATTTGGGTCAGATTCAGGGGTGTATTAATAAGTTTTATTCTGGAAATACGTATTTATGCTTTATCCTCATAATTATTTTGTTACCAGGAGCCCGTTCTGTTCCCTGTCAACGAGCTACAACGGCTACCTCGGCTGTTGTGGCAATATGGACCGGTTGGAGAGGATGCCTCTTCTCTCGGCCTCCAACGTAGCGTCCGCATACAAAACAATTGGCAGCTCTGACACTCTGGTATTTTTGCCTCTCATTTTAAATAAACATATTATTTTTGTTTAAATATACATTTTTTTATTTTCGTGTTTTTAGTGTAAATTTATAGGGCTGTGATTAGATAGACGAAATGTATGGAGTGCATTATGTCATCTTCTTTTCTTAATAACTGGCTTTACGGCTCTGGGATCTAGCCCTTCTGAGCCTGAAGTTACAATATATTATAATAATTATCATTCATAGTATACTGCTTCACAATATGTTGATACATCACATTGTGTAGCCCTTGGGAGATTATGACGACAACTTGAGCCAGCAGACAGCTGACGGTTGGCGATGGTATCTCAAAGCGCCTAAGCAGACAGGCACCTTATTTTGAGAATCACATCACCATCAGAGCACTTGTTTCACAGTTTCCACTAATAGTTCACATGCGCAGACACTTAATACACAAAATCGCACCACTTTTACATATCAAAGTCCACTTCAAACCATTATTTAAACAATAATACAGGAGCAGCAAACCGCCGCCGGTCAAGTTCCCGCCAAAACCTCTGCATAATGTCAGCCGTCATGCTGTTATTTGATTTAAAGTACCTAGAAGTAGCTAATTTCTGCCACATAATTATATAAATCAGGGTTGTCACAAACTGGAATAGATATTATTAACTAAGACATATCTTATTTTAAAGTTGAGGGGTTATAAATTCGTCTATGTTATAAAATTGGGTTTTAATTTAAAAATTTGGCAAGAGATTACTTGCTTTTCTATTAGACATTTGGTATTTATTAAGAACACTTTATATTTTCATTATTTTTTTTGAGGAAGACAAAAACAAGCATTAAAATGATTGACTATAACTTAGTACTATAAATAGTACTAATTATAATTTAGTACATAAATGAAAAACCCGTGACAAACAAAGTGGCTCAGGACCGTGCTTTGCGGCAGTCTGTAAAGAAGAATGTACAGTAGAGGTGTGTAATGATGATAATGATGATTTAAAAACTTAGATGATTTATTTATAACAAAACGATGTGCTTGAAAGACTTTTTATGGTAATTTGCTTTAATTATTTGCCTATTAATAATGGAAAAATCGAATTGCTTAAAACTAAAACTACTTACAGTAAGATAAGCTTATTAAAACATTTTATCTATGCGTAAACTTACTGTAACCGTTATTGTTGCCTGATAAAATACATATTCCATGCTCGTGACAGACATGATTCAAAATTAGAAGTTGTTACGAATTTATTACTGACCCTTTAAAACTTACCTATAGTAGTTACCAACGAAAAAACAAATTATTTCGAGAACCGAACGCGACCTTCTAAGGCACTTAACGCAACGGTACAATTAAACATTAACTTCCAAACAATAAATCAACCCGGCGTCTAATTTTCCAGACTCCACAACTTCTCGTCGTTGCATAAATTTGCTAACAGAGCCGACACAATCAGAGGTTATTATGTACATGACCACGCGGTCCGAGTAGATTCAAACTTAGACAAACTAATCCTAGGCGGTCTTCACGAAACCACAAATTAAGTAGCGAAGTAACGCGCACAAATACTAAAAATCTAGACCATAAAACCAAAACTGGTCGCACGAAATCGCTGCCGCGGTCACTAAAAAATACGTTAACGTTACGACGGTGCCGCTGCACTCCAGCTACTGCAATTTACGACCCGGCCGCCGCTGGCGATAAAAAACTAACTAAACGAAAAACTGCCCGATCTCCCACGCGTCCGGCGTGTGCGGGGAGGCGCGCGCGAGCCGCGTACAGCCGGTGCTAGGTAAATCGGAGGAGCGCGCCGACGCGCCCCTTTATGTTGTTTTTAAATTTTAGCGTTTGGCGCAAATAAACCCCCGTCCCGGACATAAGGACTTATGTCCGCGAGCAAAACCGGCAAGTGGGACAGGGTCGGGACGGCACGTTGCAAGACCGAATCTACAACCAAAACTAGGCCACCTTAGGCACCCCATCAGATCTTGCAACCTTAACCACCGCCTCAAAATACCGCCCCAATGTGGGCAAGCCGGAGGTTCGAACCTCCACTGGATGCCCATCCTGGACATTGCAACACCTAAGAAGTCCTGTTACTGGACAGAAGTCCGACGATCTCTTTCAAACACCTATCTGTGCCCCTAGGATTCGTTCCGCAATCCGACCGGATCAGGTCCGCAAACAGCGACGCGATACGAAGCGGCCCAGCGTGGCCACCTAAGCTTCAGTGCAGAGGGCACCCACAAGTTCCACATGAACGGCGTCTGTGGAGAGGCAAACGAAACGCACAGATAGTCCTTAGTATGATTTTTCAAGCAAGTAGGCATAGCCAAGCCATCTACTGTATAATCATTTACTTAATTGTGCAATAGCTGATTTCAATCTGATAATCTCCCAACTAGCTAGCCTTTTTAGACATGTAGTCCTATGCTCATGTTTCAACCAAGTTTCAAAAGCATCAATGTTCAACTACTGAATTAATTTAAACAAATTATTTTACCGCGCGTTTTATGCGCGTAGATCAAACATACAAATTAAACAAAACGATAAACGTAAGAGACAGCCCTATTTCTCTTTCCAAATAAATATCTTCGACAGTGCCAAACAAAATGTGAAAACAAAGAGAGGAATGATTCGTATTCCATTCGGCACAAATAGGGTTACTCAATTTTAATTTTCTTTTCAACAAAGCAAACACAGTCCGGAGGGTTGACAACGCATCTGCATTTTAATTTTCAACCGAGGATGTAGGTGTGTTTTGGCCACAGCATCTACTTACTAATAGGTGGACTGTGTGTTCTTTTTTCACTTTAATTCTATAAAAAATATGGTGGTATAACCATTTCGCTTACGTCAGACGAATAATACTCAGGTAGTACAGGTAGCAGATTAAAAATGCGCGACATCTGGCACAGTGATCGTCAATCTACTTTTAAAACAATTAAGGTAAATCTTTCCCAAACCGGGACACTCCAGTAATGGAATTATACAGGCCGATAAATAAAGAAAGAATACCACCTTTATTGGTAGCCAGCATATCGTTGTTTAGTGAACAAAGTCCACCGAATGTAAAACAGGTAATGATGGCATTTGGAGAAGAATATTAGCTATATTATGGTTGTGGTACGAATGGGTCAGCTCGGCCAAGGAAGGAACACGGTTTCACAGAATACCAGCGTAAAATAGCAGCTTAAAGCTGCTGTGTTTCGTATGGTGGGTGTAGAGAACTGGAGAACCTTTTTACTGGAACATTTTAGTCCTCACGGCTGACAACGCATCTGTGCATTTTGGTTTTTAATAAAAGATGAATGTAGATAGTATAAGCTGCAGCATACACTTACCGGCAGGTGAACTGCAATGGTTTTTGAGAAATATTTTACTGATATTCCGATCTTGACCACTAAGTCACTGAATTCTTCTCCTGCCGTCGCCGAATCATTACTTAAACAAAATGTAAATGTGTGTACAAAGAATTTTACATTTCATAAAGTGTCATCAAAAGATATTGTAAAATATTTTAAAACTAATGATGTTAAGAAAACTGCGGATCTGTGGGGGATTTCCGTTAAAGTTATTGCGTCTATAATAGATACAATCGCGCTTCATTTAGCTATTATTTTTAATACTAGTATCGAATCTGGTGTGTTTCCTGATTTAATGAAGCATAGTAAAGTAATACCTTTATTTAAATCTCGTAGTACATTAGACCCCGCCAATTTTAGACCTATTTCTGTACTACCAACACTTAGTAAGATTTTTGAAACAATTGTTCTTGATCAAATTGTTCTTGATCAAATGTTAAATTTTTTTAATATAAATAATTTACTTCATAAAAATCAATTTGGTTTCACAAGGGGTCGCTCGACAACTGATGGCGGTGTTGAGCTGATTGAATATATCTTTAATGCATGGGAGAATTCACAGGATGCTTTGGGTATATTTTGTGACCTATCCAAGGCCTTCGATTGTGTTCACCATGAAACATTAATAAGGAAACTTCAACACTACGGTGTAAGAAGTGATGCCCTTAAATTAATTATTTCATATTTAAGTAAGAGAACGCAAAAAGTTGTCATTAACAATATGAGCTCTTCCGGATCGATGGTACAAATGGGCGTGCCTCAAGGCTCAATTCTCGGCCCCTTTCTGTTTCTTGTATACATTAATGACTTACCTTACATAGTAGGGGATAACCATGATATAGTATTATTTGCAGATGACACTTCTTTAATTTTCAAATTAAGTCGACAGTTACTAAAATATGACGAAGTAAATAATGCTATATCTAAATTAGTAAATTGGTTCGATGTTAATAATTTGCATTTAAATGGCACTAAAACAAAATGTATGAAATTCGTGACTCCAAATGTCAAACAATTAAATACTAATGTAATTTTAAATGGGGAGAAACTGAGTCTTGTAGATACCGCCATTTTTCTTGGAATCACACTAGACGCGAAGCTTCAATGGAGCCCCCATATATCAAAACTAGCAAGCAGACTTAGTTCTGCAGCATATGCTGTAAAAAAGATTAGAAGTCTAACCAGTGTTGAAACAGCTAGACTAGTTTACTTCAGCTACTTCCATAGCATAATGTCGTATGGTATTATGCTATGGGGACACGCAGCTGACACTGAAATTATATTTGTTTTCCAGAAGAGGGCCATAAGAGCAATTTATGATTTAAAGCCTAAAGAGTCGCTGCGACAAAAATTTAAGGAAATTAATATATTAACTTTGGCCTCTCAATACATTTATGAAAATGTAATGTACGTACACAAAAATAAAAGTAGTTTTACAAAAATAAGTGATATTCATTCTGTAAATACTAGGAACAGACACAAGCTAGTAGTACCAGTTACTCGACTCCATCGAGTCAGTAATTCATTCTTGGGGCGATGTATACTCTTTTACAACAAAATTCCAGAAAATATACAAAGTTTGACCTGTTCAAAGTTCAAAAACTTTATTAAACTAAGTTTGTATAAAAAGGGTTATTATAATATTAAGC